GACAAAATAATGGTGAAACTGGAACATAGAAACACAGCGCGTGTACTATCCACTCTGTTGGCGAACCGATCGGCGAACGACTGACCAGCCAAGCAGCCTCGGAAAGAGAAATTTTGGCTTAGAGCCGGCCCATTTCCCTCCATCTAGCAGTAGATAGCTTAATGGAAAGAATGGAAAATGACGACGTGTAAAAAGACGAGCAGGATGTAGATGTTAGAAAAACGCACGAGATATCTAACGGCGAATGAACCGCGGCCTCCATCCAGCCAGTGAGCTCTAAGCCAAACCGAGGCTTCAGGACTGCTTTTGCCACTGAGCTAAGTCTGGAAGCACACCGAATCGGACGCAGCAACCGGCTAACTTGCCAGTTGAAATTCGCGTACGCGGTAGCGCCTTTGGAAGGAACCCACGGCGACGATGACCAAGCTGGCACGGTGCAAGGATTTTCTATGAAACGAGTTCATTCTGTTTTTTTGCCTTTTTTTCTCGCTCGTTCGGGGCGAAAGAAGCCGGACCCAGCTAGTGAATTGTGCCATCAGCAAACCTGCGTTTTTTGTCACCTTTCAGTGGAAAAGGAACGATACCGCAGATATCGTCGGTTGTTCAAAGGAGCAACCAACGGATGGCCTAACAGATTTCCCCAAATCGACATATAAAAAGGCGGCATAGAAACGAGTCCAGTCAATCGATGGAATGCTGAGCTGAAGCACCCTGTTAGATGGCAACGGCCCTTATGGCTGCTGCTGTCGTAAGCTCGTACAGCTGGACGAGATGAAGGGCGAACCCGGCAGCTCAGACTCCAACAACAAGAGAAGATGTAGAAGAAGTAGAAGGTCGCGGTTGCGAGTGGGGTAGTAAATGGAGTATGCATCGGCTGGTTAAGCGTACGCAGCGCTCACATTGCTTACGCAATTTACTGTCAGTGCTCCAACTAAAAGCAAACAAGACTGAAAGGAAATAGTCTGAGAATGAGGCGACGGGGTAAAAATAAGGACAGCCTGCCATAGCAGCCCAAACAGTAGAAGCGGTTGAAACGGCAGCGATATCATCTAGGTATCGGTGACGCAGACTATAGTACCGGTTGATGAGGCGCAATGGAAGAGAAAACAGGTTGCGTCACCTTCGCGCGTACCTTTCCTGTCTTTTTACCTATCTCGGCCGTCAAGAGAACGAAGGGAAGACGAGCCATCCGAATGAGCCTGTTGTGGAGTGGCCTCCACCAATCATGCACCAATAGTACTATTATATACCAACAAAACTAAGACAGTATCATCTTTCACAGTAGTAGCTACTGGTCCTTTAAAAAGTCTGGTAATGTGTTAGTATGTTTTTTGTGTTATTTGCTGCATATATGTGTTACAGTGTGTCATCTTTGGCTGCGTACGTCTAAAATGAACCCACGGTTGGCTGACTGACTGGTTATTTACTTAGTTGCAGCCTAATAGCAGGCACTGACGTGGTAAGGCGTTAGGGCCTAAGACGAACGTGCGAGAAGGGTAAGGTCTGGTGAAAACAGAGTAGAGAACAGATCGAAAAGGAACTCTCGACAGCCGGGTTATAACAGAACCTTATAGATGACCGACGTCAAGCGAAGGTTAAATCGACCAGGTGAGAATGATCGACTGGTGAAGTCTGTCACGAAGTCTGAACTCCATTAAGTAAATGTTGCTGTTGCTCTTACTAGAGCTCGACATCTTCTAAAACTGTCGCAGCTTATCTGTTGGCTGAGTTAGGTACACAAGTTTGCCCCAATGCCAGGGGCACACATCACGAAACTGGTGGACGGAACACCTAGCAAAACTCTCAGGTCGTTAGTTGGCTAGCGGACGGGTTGACGTGACGCGTCAGCTGATGGAAGCTACCGAGAAATGTCTGTCTGGCAAAAGCTACTAGCTCCTGTACTGCTTCTGGTTCGGAGGGGAACGAATCCTCTGAACGCTAGTGCGGAAACGTGGCGATCGTAGATGAAAGATTTACTTATAACAAACTGAGATAATAGGTTGTACGCCAGTAACACACAGACTTAAATTCACTCTACAATATGTATAAGCATAAGGTATAACCGTATATAACTACAGATATACGGAATTAATTAGCTGGAAATAGGATACCGTGCTTTTCTATTTAATAGTGCTTTACAATTTGCAAGTATTCCTAAGGCTAAATAAAAAAAAAAGGATATCAGATATTCCACAAAGCCTCTGATGTACTTAAAAAGGTATATATATGTGTGTGTGTGTGTGTGTCATGTCATACATGTGCGCTTTGAAAGTCGCGTTTGTTTGGCAAGGAATAGTAGCGGCGGCAAACACACGTGCAGTGATGTATCGCCTCATTCTATAGCCATATATATAGTTGTCGTCATAGTACATCTATATTAACCTCTCCTGACCTGGAGTTTCTCTATCGTTGCCAGTCAACATAACAAAATGCTGAAACGACTTCATAGAAACGGTGAAAAAATGTTTTTACCAGCAAAAAGTTATGTGGTAAACTTACAAGCAGGAGGGGTAAAGAACGAAAGACGCAACGAACAATATAAAAACGTAAATAGAAACCGACAATATAAACAAAAGCAGCGCTCGGAACGACAGAGAAACGTCCGAACAAACTTCCGAAGTTAGTTTTGGTCGAAGAAGTTACGTTTATATACACCGATATATAAATATAGTTGTTATTATTATTAAGATTAAGCAGAAACTTAATGTATTATCTTTTTGCACTTTTCACTAACAGAGATTAATGTTACCTGGAATATTAGAAGAATATATACCGAAGTGTTAGTGTTTGTGCATATTTATAGTAGGCGGTATCAGACGTGTTACATAAACGAATGCAAGTTACTGCCCGCGCCACTTCCATTGATGCTGAAGTTTTGGATCAGGAAATCTGGATTTCTGAGCGGAGATTATATATGTTCGCATTGTATCACATGGCTTATAGTTCATACTCTTTAAGTTATGAGCGTGGTAACCAAACGATAAAGATTAAGCTACAAATTTCGTAATAAAATATGACGCCAAAGAAATTGAGGGAAATTAATTCTGTAAATTTCTATACTTCTGAAATTACAAATCCTATCCCATGGTTATGTGCTAGTCGATAGTTTGACTCGACCATTTTTCCAGTAACAATGCCTTATAAAAATATTTAAAGCGAGATATAGCAGTTAGTAACTAACTAGAGGGTCAATTGTCAATAAATTACAATGATCTCGGCTAATCTAGCTAAAAAATATCGATCTTTTTTATTGATCACCTAGCGCCATCAAGATCTTATGTTGATTTGCGAACAAAATGTACTTCAATATCAAAAAAGTAGGTTACCCGGTCCTATTTGCTCCTCACGAATTGTTCTGTCCCCCATTTTTTCCCTATCTCAAAGTTATATTCAAGCTTAACGCACAACGTTGCACCGACACGGCGATATTCAACGACGGTAAACTCTACGTTCAGATCTTCGCATACGTAGCTCATAATGCTAAAAATGTATATTTTTGCATATTTTCATACTGTCTAGTATATCTTATCACTCTATATTGTTTGATCCTTCCTACATTGTTTATATCTGTAGTAACAGTAACGTGAACGAGATCGAGTGAGTATGATTGATAAGCGTTACCGTGGTGGCCACACAAGCTGCGCATACGAGAGAAGTTACAAGCCCACGCAAAGGATGCACCATTCGATGACTGATTTGATAAACTGAATCAATGGGTGAAACAAACCGGAGGGAGTAGTTCCAAGAGGATCAGGGAGAAGGAGCAATTAAACTCGAACGACATCACCATTGGCGATCTGCTTCGCGTTTTTCATTTTTCTTTTGCACAGGGAATGTTTGTTAAGGGAATGACGTCGAACTGTCACAGAGCTTGCTACGCATGAGCTGGCTCGCTGAAGAAAAATATCCCTTGAAGGTAGAAGGTATCCATTTGCGCCTATTTCTATTCTTCGTCTATTTCTTCATTTGTTCAACGCTACCTAAACTTCAATGATTGTCTGTTTTCTTTAAAAATAAACCCGAAAAATCGTCATATAACGAAATCAAACACGTGACAAAACCTGAAAATATTTACTTCCATATTTTTTTCGTAACAACCATCTATGTATATATTGACCTATAAACCACAATGGAGAATCATAGTATCGTACGGTTTAAGAAGTCAAACACTATGGCTTAACTTTTCCCGCAAATCCTGTTTTTCTTTTCACGTAAGTGTAACGTACGAAACGTTTCTTTCCCAGGAGGTTCATACGGAGGAACGTAGTGCCGGATCCTCGTCGGATCTATATTGTTAGCTTCCTATTTGTTTTGGTTTTCCCTTGTATCAGAGATGTAACAGAAAAAAAATACGAAAAGAAAATGCTGGTCTGTGGACGAACGAAACCACGGGAGGGGCCGAGCATGAAGGCACGGCGAACTCCCAAGAAAGGCCGGACGAACTAGAAAGATTGTCGTGACTCTTTGAACAATGAACGGGAAGGACCTACTCGTTACGATCAAAGAGGTTAAGCAAACGCGGGACTATAAAGAGAAAAAGGTTTCCACAACGGAAGATGTGGGAGATTGGGTAAGTCGTTATAACGGTAACTCGTCTGCAGACCGCTTCACACAATCTTGTACAGTGTGCAATGAAGATTGTAATAAAAAAAAGGCCCAAGAGGGGCGGCTTATAGGTTACGGTACAGAAGGACAGCGGACGAAAAAAAGGGGGTGGGCCCAGAAAAAAAAACGCCGGAACCAAAAACCTGCTTTTCTCGAGCGAACTTCTTGTGAGTGCCTTTGGGAGATTAATATATATATATATATAGACACATATATATGCGCGTTGGGACAAAACTGGAAGACACGAGAGCAAAATCGAATGGATCCGCCGTTTCGAGTGTCCCCTAGAAAAATGGGCGGATAAAGAGAGGCTTTGACTCTGAGAAGAGAGGGGAACTCACCACAGAAGTTAACGAAATCTGGAATATAACAATTGTATACTAAGTTGTACTCACTTCCTGCGGAGGCACGTCAAATGACACTGTTCGTAGATCCACTTTACAGTAGGTATCGATGCAGGGTATTATGAAGAAAATACCTGGAAACGGATAATCCGTCGGAAACTTTATCAAACTGACAGAGTAAACAATACGTGCAAGTACGTTAAGCATTGGACGCCAAAGATAGAATGATGCCACATTGCTCGGTCACGATTGGATGACCACTTCATGCAAGGTACTCGTTGAACTGAGCGACGCTAATTCGACAGATTTTTAATGATTACTTGTTTGATAGACCCATCCGTTGAGGCTATAACTATTCCCTATGGCCTATTTTCTTTATGACATTATGCCTTTCCTCAAACTTACGTCCGTAAAATTTACGGATTTTGCTAACATCTTTCCTTATGGGAAAAAACATTAGAACTGCCACCCGCATCCAACAAAAGAGATCCAAAAGAGAGAGATTATGATATACTTTGGCAAGTCATCAAAGCAGAGCGAGGCGCTTCGCATAAAAATGATTTAGATACTACTGGAACCAGGCTCCTCGTCATATACAGATCGACTCATAGCTCTTAAAAGCTAAAAGCTGCTGGCAGTGTGTAAGCTGATAGGCAAGAAGACTTTGGCAGAAAGCCACCTTTGTCGGTTCTCATGGCAACCTAACGAGATCGCAAGGTCTGTAAATCAATCAGGCTGAACCTGCTGTGTATAGATATATATATAACCTATTTTCTGCACAACGAGTATCCAAATATTGCAGTGCTAAGCTATACCGCTACTCTAGAGTAGCAGTATATAAGTACATAAGAAATGAAACTTCTGTTTTTGCATACCTCTGCACTTTCAGTGTAGTTCTTGCACGTTGAGCATGCGCAAAGTTGATATATGCTCCACTAATAACGTGACGCGGACTTTTCACTGTTATTATACATAGCCTTACCATAAAATTCTTATGTATATATATTAGACTATATGAGAATGCTAAAACAAAAAAAAAAGAAAAAAGAAATAAAATCACATTGATTCCACTTACCTGGACCTTTAGCACCTCCTCGTAGCAATCGACCTAACCTGAATATAACTGCTCTCTCGTATTCCTGGACAACCTGCAATTTCATCATCAGAAACATTGAATTAGTGCAAGTTCAATATTTTATTTATGGTTAGTATAGCATACCAGCTGTACGTTACCGACTAGTATTGCGTCAGCAGTAGTAACGCTAGTTGTATAGGATTAGTTCCGCACCCCAACGTCGAATCCCCAACATTCTCATAGTTCACCGACATCCCCAAGGTCGCATCTTCTTAGAGCTATAAACCGTCACGGCCAAACAGCCACTTTTCAGATCTTATAGTATCATTTGGTAGAGAGAAAATTATTCAGTTGCGTGTGCATTGCTTGGATACTTAAACCCTCGCAGAAGAAGTTACGAGAATGTTCTCACTATCTCTCATCAGCCAGATGCCCGTTGTATCTTTACTGGCCAGCTCGAGTCAGCCCTTAAGGGCGGTATTCCTTTTTGAATGAGCACGGCATAAAGTTACAGATTCTCGACATCTATCTGCAGCAACTTATCTGTTCTTATTATCTTATTATTCAACGGTGTGGATTACCCTGGCTTGCGCTGCTTTCCACCGAATCAAGTCAGCTTGATTCGTGGCTCAGTCGGTCGGCCAGCCCATCTATCTGTACGTCTTTGCAATGCACGCAAATCCTAAAAAACCTAAAGCCCTTGCCTTGCTTTCAACCTTTTTGCCCCTTTTCGTCTCCCTCGCTTACTCAAGTCGAGACGCACGCTTTTGCCGTCAACCCAATTCAGCAGTCCTCTTTGAGCAATTGTCCATTGCGTATCCCGCCTCCCCATTTATCTCCGAGGTCCCTAAATCTGCAGAGAGGGGCAACTCCTGCTGCTGCTACGCTTGTTGCAGCTTCAAATAACGAACCTCTAAACTGGGGAATTTAGCGGCAGTTTCTTTGCTTAGGCAACCTATCACACATGCCAGCACCGACGGCCGAGAGGAACGTGCAGGGCTTAGCTCAGCTCGTTAGGTTATGTAATTCTTCTATCTGATAGCACCCCACGAGCCCACAACGATAACAACATCAGCAACCGTATTCGCGCTCTTGACGAGCTGTGTGGAGCCAGGCTAGCATTACTGCCGCAACATAATATATATATGTGCCTTTAGGGAAAACTTTTTAAATCTTCTTGCCCCACTTATTGCTTTTGTCGCGTTCTGCTTTTTCGTGTGGAATCTGAAGTCTGCCTGGTAAGCTCCGGACTTAGAGGACCACTCATGCTGCCACAACCAGCGGTCTATTCCTAAAGGTTATAAAATATCTCGCGTGCGTCGTGTTGGCCAAGAAGTTCTAAGGGCTGGTTGCGGAAGCTCTACGATATACCGAGCCCATACCGGTACCACTGGGAGCTGTCTTAGGTGAACACGCACACAGACACACATTCACTTCCATCGAAAGTGGCCCCCAAACATACACTTCTCTGTTTCGCCTTTCCCACGAGCCTTCAAGACTATTTTATGTTGGCGCGGATTGCCGAAACGCCAAACCGTCGTACATAGTGCTAAGCAGACCCTGCGAAGATCATAGGCTTTTGGTGATGGCATCGTCTTTTTTTTTTACCACGCACTCACTTTTTGACATCGCCTTGCTTAGGCCATTAAGTAAGAACCCGAAACCCCTATCTTGTGTGCTGAACAGGACAGTGCTAAAATACCAAACACTCCTTGTGCTACGCAGTTAACTTGAAGTCAACTTAGTTTATGCAAAAATAAAAATCCGCCTCACATATGTAGCGTTAAGTTTCAACTGCGCGGATGAGTGACTCCGATCTTGGTGGCTACCATGCATCTTCCCCATCCATGCCCCTTCAACAGATTCGGCTTACCTTTGGAAAGAAAATAACACGTACCTACGAGTGAGGTCCAAGGAAATAGATAGAAATAGCAGCAGAAACAATATAAGCAATGAAGTCGCAAAAGGTAGAGACGGCTAATGGGAAATGTCATGCTAGTTTAAATTCGCTTTGTGTTTGTTGCGGATCAGTGGTTCAGAGCTGATGCTTCCACTTGTGCTGGATAGACAGATAAGAGTACGACGGCAGACAGCTCAAATAGTAGGCGGCGTGGCCGATGCAGCTATAGCATTTACAGTCAACCGCCGGACAAACGATAGCCCCGGGCTCCGGAACAATCAGCTACGGTGGCTGCAGTAATAGAACTACTGGAAAGTAGTAATGGAGGGACAAAAATAAGAGAACCGGGGAAAGAGCTGGGAAACTCACTGGCCACACTTCATCTGTCCCATCGGTTGGTTCGTCAGGCAATCGAGGGTTGTAAGAAACGCGTTCTTTTTTCTTCGGCTGTAAGAACAATCGTAAAACAGTGTCAAGGCCCGCGCAAAGCTTCGGAGCTGCCGAGTTACACGGCACAACCAACTAATTTTTGCACACACAGTGAGTTCTTTACGGTGTAGGTTCGTATGTTATTCAGGCTAGTGAAAGGAGGCTATTGGGTATCACCGAAAAAATGAAATAGGTCCAACTGGAAAATGTTACCGAACCAGCGTGAAACGGTAAGGCGCTAGGACACAGCGAAAAGCTGTGTGCTTGCTGCAAGATCCACCCAGCGACAGCTGCAAGACAGAGATAGGCCCTCCTCAGACCCGTTCTACGGCGATGCGCCAACGGACATTACTTATTTTGGTATTACTTATTTAATAGTCCACTATTCAAAGAATAAAATGCTTCAATATGCCCAGGATCGAAGTCTTAATACTACACTAATATTTGCTAATGCCTTCCAATTCAGTCAGCCAACGTTACAGAACTTAATCCTCTTATTTTTCTCGAATCTCAGCAGCATCTTCTCGGACTATCTCCATTAGCCCTACGACCCATAGTCGTTGGTGATTTCCCGAAGCCATTGGTTTCACCCCATCACTCGCTGTTTGTAACGAAGCGGGCAAGTCGACGAATATTAGCAGAGGCCAGATTCAACATATCAACTATCGGTGACTGATGCTGACGCCGTATTTATTATATTGTTACAGCTGCTATTGCTAACAAAGTGACCGAGCCCGTATATCCACAAGGAAAAAGAAGCATAGGGTGGTTGCCTCTTCTTCTCTAGTCGCTACTATTATTGTGCTACTTAATGAACGAGTAGCGGACGACCGCAACCGCAGCGGGAGTTTCAGCCCCGCTACGAATTTGTTACGCACGGAGCAAAAAGCTAGACGAACATAACGACTCCGACGGCAACAACAATGCACCAGGTCTCCTCCATTCGTGCCCGAAGCGAGTTATATGGCTGGCCTGGCCGGACGCAAAGTAGGACGATCGCACGATTGTTGACATATAAGTGGAAATGAAATAGAGCAAGTGGTGGCCTTTTCTAGTTCGCTTTACTTATTTTATATTATTGTATTGTGCTTTCGTGTTTGCGCTACGCTTGTCAAAAAAACTGACAGTCTCCAGCGTAGATTGATGTTCTCATTATGTCGGTAGTGCGTTTGTTATTATTGGACGGCGACTTCGGCTATTCGTCGCGACTGTTATTACTCGGGCAGCTGCCAACGCTGATTCAACGTCAAAAACTGTTCGAGCTTTACTTTAGCACCACCATCAATGCCGCTGTTATGGTGGCCTGCCGGTCGGGTCGTACCTAATACGTTCACGATCTACGACCATTTACACAACGTTCCGTACTCGGCTAGAAACTACACCTCAAACTGTTCTCACCGACTGATATAATAAGAGCAATAGCTGCACGTTTTCGTTGCGTCGGCATTGTTCGTTCGGTAGGGTGCCGGCGCTACACTACCAGCAGTAGCTATTACAACAATTGCAAACGGAACTTAGCCACTCTATCTTTCTCTTGACGGGTGCACACAGTTACCAGACTTGGAGCTGCTTGCTCTTTGCTCTGTACTGCACCCCACCTGCAAGCTACCTGGCTGGCCGAAAGACTGATGGGTAGCAATCTAGGGGTAATTCAGGACAAAAAGTAAAAGGACAGTGACCAGCAAAGGGGCGGCCGCCGAAGCACCTCGTCCTGAATCATCCTCTGAAGATTTATGAGCCTCCGGGGGTCGTAGCTCAGGTGAATTGAACGAATTACGAGTCGAAGTGAAGGGGTCTCAAATCGAAGGGACTGCTAGTGAATCCAGCCGAAGATTCCCTGTTATTGAAGGTAATTCGGGACAGCTGGAAGAGAGAATAAAGCAATGGCTGAGGTAGTTACTGGAAACACTGGAGTGAACAGTGTGACCGGCAGCAAATTATCAAGCGGTAACACAAAAACGCATTAGCTACACGAAATGAAAGGTAAACTCCCAAACCATGTTTGCTCATTTGGAGTACAATCCATAGACCTGCCGACTCTCCTATACAACTGCTGTTCTTTTGCAGCATGTCCAGTTTACGGCGCACTCTCGTAACAAGTCACCTCATGTTTCTAGCTCTGTTAGTATGTGCTTGGCCAGTTTTGGGAGCTCGCATGTTTCATGCTTTCCCTAGACGCTGGTCAATACATCCCAACCAGCCTTCGTCACATTGGCCTCTTTTGACCCAACGTAAAACTCGCACTTCGCCTCGGGTTGCGTAACTTTAGCCGCTTCGCAGTTTGCCGCTATCCGTTGCCCCCGTAACAATGTCAAACACGATGCAGAAGACTCATACAGGTTAAGGTTACGCTTCTTCACTTGGCACAAACTTATCTATGGGGCAATGGCAAAACCCGGATCAGGACCAGTTCGGCAACTGGCGGCATCAACTTCGTCGACTTCGCTACCTACGAACATCCTTGTGTGTTTGCCCGTCACGGGAATAGCAATCTAGACCAGACCGAACTACTCCTACATCGACGGCAATACCAAGAAAAGGTTACTCTCGTTTCGACTCTGAGGTAACATGCAAATCGTCTAACTGCACCGGACAGAGCAACAAACTAGCAAGTAAACGAAGAGCTATTTTTGCGATCGTCGACGAAAAAGCAGCTTTACTTTACGGAACATTGACCGACGGACATATACCTAGCGAGTTAAATATACACGTACGTAATGAAATACTCTAATACAACGACGACT